TCTTTAGTTAACTCATCTCTGGAAAATGCAGTTCTTTATTTTTATTGTGGGTGGTTAAAATTGAATTTTAGGATCATATGCATCTGACATTTTTAGTGATCTTCTATTATATTTTAAAAACAGAACATTCAAGCAATCATATAGGTAGCTGATACTAATTTTATTAACCAATATTTCTCCAAAACGTCTATCCTCTGTAGAACTTCAGAAGCAGCAAAATGTTTGGATAAACATATAGAACAGAGGTTTATATGGAATAAAGAACGTGAGGAAGCAACATAAGGCAAATAATGTTTCTTTTAATTCCATTTTTAAATACATACATTCTGCTTGATCGAGGAATAGTAAAAATTCAGTGAATTCTCCTGTTTAATAATATTCATGGGGTGGCTACTGAAATCAGCTTAGCTGATTTGAGGCAGCTGCACCAATCCAGTGAGGAAGTATGAGATGATGCTGAAAAATTGGAGCAAGTGATTGGATGGTGATTACTATATGCACTTAATGGGGTGTAGTTAAAAGAAGGAAAGGTTTAAAAAAGGGACCGGGGAATTTTATGTTAGTATTCTTTCTTTCACTCACTGAGATTAAACGAAGGAGCTTTTTCTTATCTGAAGCTGAAGAATAAAGGCACAGGTAAGGAAAATTAACAGAATTCTAAGTGGACTGCTTCATATTGAATTAATAAATAATAGTAAAGCAAACTGATTGGGAAGCCATTGCATATATTGTTTTGTACGCTGCATTTGTGGGATAGAAGCAAGTTGGCGGCAGGCTTTGGAATATTAGCTTATAAGAAAGAAATATTTATATTTGTAGAATGTATTTCTCTTTTAAAATTAACATTATATAAGTTCTTGTGTTTACAAAGACCTTTCTGAATTCCTCTTAATGCTTGAAGATTTGTTTTCTTTGTCTTGGATTCCTGGATGAAACATTTTTATGGTTGTAAGGTTTTTCAGCTCAGAATCCAAATAAATCTCAATGAGACTCTGAACACGAGGTATCTGAATTAAAACACAGCTTTATTTCTTTGATCAAAGTTATAGGCTGGGCACTCCACTCTCCTTTAGACAGCAGAGAGATGAGAATACTTAATCAGAAAAGTGTTTGCTTTTTATAACTAATACACAATGTTCTTTCACATCTAAAAAGTTCTGTTGAATCTTCATATCTATCCTGGCGTTACATTTCTATATCTCTAAGCTTGAACACACAACAGCTCAATAGCTGGCAATTAGCCCATTAATTTTGTTACTTTGCAGGCCAGTAGAGAGCTGTTAACTTTTAAAGCCATAGCTAAAAAGCGAGAAGGGAAAGATTTATGAGAAAGGAAAGATTGATTTTATTACAGCTATCAAGCAAGGTAATAACATTAATCCTCCAAAGGATAGAGCTATGAGGGACAAAATTATTTTCCAATCTCCAAACATCCCTCCAAACCATCCAGCAGAATCTAAAATTCCATCCCAGGTTTGGACAGGCACGTGAGCACGATCTGGATACAGCAATTAGTGATTAAGTTTTCCACAGACTCCTCCTTTTTGGCTAGAAGATAGTCTAGAAAAGGGCTTTTCAACCGGTGGTACTCGTACCACCAGTGGTACACGAGCACATATCTGGTGGTACGCGTAGGACGGGTTGGGAAAAAAATGTAAACAAAATGTAAACAAAATGTAAACAAAATGTAAACAAAATGTTAAAAAAATGTAAAAAAAAATGTAAAAAAAAGTTCCATGAGACTTTCTAACTTCTCTGCATGGTGGCAGGAGGGTTAATGGCGGGTGCGGGGGGTGGGCCAGGAGGAGGCAAAGCAGGCAGAAGGGAGGCCGGGCAGATTGTGGTCCTACCCATTTCACTTACTTGCAGAAACAAAATTTAGAAGACTAGGAAAGGCGTCAAAAGCTGTTGATAGAAAGCAAGTTGAAAGCAAGCAAGTGAGCTGGGCAGGACCATGGAATCGGCGTTTCTGAGCACATGCCAATTCATGCCCCTGCCCATCTCGCTCGCTTGCAGGGCTCCTGACCAACCTTCACTGGACAGGAGCGGGGAGGGCATAAAAGAGCCTGGAGGAGGCAATTGGAGTTTGGCCACCGCTGACGCCACCACCACTGTTGCTGAGCCAGACGGCTATGCGACGGCGGCGGCGGCGGTTCCTGCCCGCTGCTTCTCCTTGGCTGCTTCCTCTGAAAAGGAGCGGCGGTCGCCCTCGGTGCTTTGCCTCCTCCTGGGGCCCCCGCACCTGCCGTTAACCCTCCCGCCACCATGCAGGGTAAGGTTGGTGTCCCCACCCAAATGCCCTCGCCTCCCCCAAGCATTTTTTTACTCACCTGCTTTCAGCTGCACTCTCTTTCTCCTTTTGCTTCTCTGCCTTCGCCACGTGTTTGTGGGTAAAAAAGAAAAAAAAGTTCCATGAGACTTTCTAACTTCTCGCGAGAAGTTAGAAAGTCTCATGGAACTTTTTTTTTGTCTCACAAACACATGAAGGCTGAGAAGGACAGGAGAAAGGGAATGCTGCTGAAAGCAGGTGAGTAAAAAAAACGCTTGGGGGAGGTGAGGGCATCTGGGGGGGGGTACCAAGTCAATGCGTCACGCAGCCCAAGCGGAATCTCTAGTGAAGACTGCTTGAGGCTGCCTGCCATCCCCAAGGCTGCTTCAGCTGGAGCTGCATGTTTTGATTCTGGGCTCTCAGTAGGACCCAGGCAACGTGCAGTTCCAGCTGACTTTGCCACAAGCCTGTGCGGTGCTGTTGCCACTTCACCTCATCCACTCTTACACTTTTTTTTACATTTTTTTTACTTTTTTTTACATTTTTTTCATTTTTTTCCAACCCGTCCTACGTTTACCATCAGACATGTGCTTGTGTACCACTGGTGGTACACGAACTACCTGTTGAAAAGCCCTGACCTATACCATCAGGTATTTCTCTTTTTGCTCTTCCCAATTAATCATATACGTGAACCCAAGTTTTTCTCCTTGTTTGAGGGGTAACAAGAAGAAACATTGTTTGATGGTTCCCAAAATACAAGCTCTTGTACAAGTGGTTTTTATACACTTTGGACAGGATGTGTTATCATCTGATTTCACGCCTCTCTTCTATCTGCTGTCTAAAGGAGAGTGGAGTGCCCAGCTTATAACTGCCAGGATAATAATTTAATAGCTAGACAGCTTATGTAAAGATGGAATGTGGATGATGCAATGATAGGAGGATGCAATATTAGGAATGAATCAGCAGGGTCTGTGTCTGTGCTTTTAAGAGGCTGAGTATAAAAGGGGAGTTTTTTACTGGAGTTTTTTCTCTCTCGTCCGTTTGATTGCTGTAATTACTGTGTATTGGAGTTTGCTGTTTCACCACATGTATGTATCTTTATTTCTAGTGTATATTTGTAGATATAGTGTAATATAAACCACCATTTAATTACAAACCACTGCTTACTGTATTTACTCCTGGGTTACCTCAGCGCAATAAGACTGTGTATGCTCTGACAAAAGCTGTGTTTTAATTTAGATGCCTCGTGTTCAGAGTCTCATTGGGATTTATTTGGATTCTGAGCTGAAAAACCTTACATGGTGTTCTATTGAAATGAATATTTTTAAAATAGCTATACATTAGCTTAGATAATAACTGATTAAAAACAAAGCTAATTTTGACTTCTGGTTCCTGTGAGCAGTGAAGCAGTTGAGGGATTCGGGATGCTGAGCCCTATAGCTGAGTTTCTTTCTGTTTGGGAACCCTAAATGGGCCAGAGGCTGCCCAGGAGAGGTGGCAATGAAGGAAGGTAGTCCCAGGGACCTTGGAGAGATGGTGGTCTCCCTGATCGGTCCAGGAGAAGCCTTCCAGAAACCAACAGGAGAAAGGCTAGCTAACTCCATTGTCTAGCCCAGTGATGGTGAACCTTTTAGAGACCAAGTGCCCAAACTGCAACCCAAAACCCACTTATGCATCGTCGGGTGCCGGGTGGGTGTGGCCCATTGGGTAGGTGTGGCCCATTGGGTGAGTGTGGCCCATTGGGTGGGTGTGGCCCATTGGGTGGGCGTGGCTGCAGTTGTAACGGCAGACTGGGTGGGACTAAAAAGTTCAATCAATCAATTCCAGCTTTGCAAGATCTTTTTTTTTCCCACGAGAAGTTGAAATTGACTGATTGATTGAACCTTTTTTTTTTTTGCACACGGCAGCGGAGGCCTAAATCAAAAAGATTTTATAAAACTCAGCTGAAGGCCTAGGACTGGGGCGACAGTGTGCGTGCCCACAGAGAGGGCTCTGAGTGCCGCCTCTGGCACCCGTGCCATAGGTTCGCCACCACTGGTCTAGCCCCAGCTTCAAGCAACGGAAGTCAAAAGCTCTACTTTAAGCTGATTCTAAACAGTGCGTTTGAAGCTGGGTAAGAATTGATTTTCTATATCCTACTTACTTTCCTGAAGAGGAAAACTCCCAAGAAGCAAAAAAAAAACCCTCTCAGAGAGTGAGAAGGGAGGGTTTTCCCCCTACCTTTTCGCTATTGGAAGCGGTGACTTTAACCCTTTAAGGATGAAAAAGATTAGAAAATCTGAAAATGATCCAATGCTGACACCTACTGGTGTATGAGGACTATGAAATCTCTTCCTGTGGAAAAACACAACAGAAAAAATAGAAATAATGTATAAACTATATTATATGGCTTCAATAATAAATAGTTACAGTTCTACATATAATTAATGCACACATTATGCAAGTACATATATATTTATTTCTAATACACTTTTTATAACTATCATTCTTTTTAGCCTTAATTGTATCAAAAAGAGTCAATAAGCAAGAAAAGTTTAGTCAAAAGCTGAGGTTTTTTCCTCTCCCACAGTTAGTTAGCTATGCCACATGAACCTTGCCTTATTTTTTCCTAAGGTTGTTAAAAGCAGAATTAATTATGAAAAAAATCAAGTAGAGTTGCATATTGCATAATTTCACATAACATTTCACAAAAGAAAGGTTCTTTTATATTCAAGAATTTTATCATATATTTGTGTCACCTCTTCTTCTGCAGCTTCCAATGGCATTTCATAAAGACAGTCAATTTTTTGAAGGAGGAAAAAGTCAAAATGAAGCCTCTCCTGGACAGTGGGGTAGAGCATGGTAAGAAAATCTGCCATGTAGTGACTATAGCTGAGAAATACCTGTGCTTATGAAGAACTGTACGGGCTGGTTCTGTAAAATAGGCAGCTACTGCTGAATTTTAGGGGCATTTGTTTAACATCCAAAGGAAGAAGGGGTGTTAAGGGCAACAACACACTAAAATTATACAAATCATAATTCTGTTCAGAGTCAATCATTGACAGTAGGGTTTTGAGGTTTCTTTTTTTGGAGGGTGAGTAACAATCTCTATGTGTCTTTTTCAGGAAGGCTGATTGGTTTTCTCTGATAAGTGTCATCTATCTACTCTTTTCTTCTCCCTTTATGGTCTACTATTTTGTAATGTCATGTGATCAGTACCATTGCTCTTTGAGTGAGCCAGCCATCCAGTTGCTTACGGGAAAAGTTCACCTCTTAGATATCTGGGACAAGACACCCTCTTTCTCTTGGAAAATTCTGATCCTTTACTTTTCTTGGGTAATATTCCAGGTACGTGTCATGAAGCTTCTCTGTTGGAATCCAGTTATTTGGATCAAAATTAAGATTGTTTTTAAAACTGCATTCTAAAATTGGAGCTCTATATGTGAAAATATGGCAATATAAGTTACTAGCAATATTGTGTTTGGGTGTTGCTGGGAATAATGCTAACAACTAATATCCCTGGTTTCTTTTGAGACATTTTTTTGTCTTGATCTCTTCCAAAAGATTATGACTGACAGAAGAAAATGAGAGACTTGTGGTCTTCCAGAAGTTATGAAACTGAACTTCCAAAACCCATTACCATTGGCTAGGCTTATGGACTATGCCAGGGGTTGTTATTTCAACCATATTTGCAGGGCAATAGGTTCCTTACCCAGAGCTAGATGGTGATTTGAAATAAACTAACACAGGCTCACCTTCAATCTTTAGTTGTTATTTCGATATTATTTCTATATGAATATTTCATTATGGTATTGGCAGCTAGAAATTAAATATTTTCTACAATTTCTATGTCCCCAAATGAGTTTTACTAAAATATTCACAGTTCCATATTTATATTTCAGCTACATTTTTAAACAGCTACACTATTATGAGAGGTTGGGATATGAGTAAATGTCAGTTATGAAAAAATAATGATATGGTCAATCCATAATTTATCTTCCTTCAATTGTACCATTGTGCAACTTTAATTCAATTGTAAAGATATTGGCTTATACGTTCATTCCGTTACAGGGATTTTTGTTTATGATTCCTGACTTTTGTCATAAATTTATTCCTGGTTTTCGAGGAGGAGAACAAGAAGGTGCCATTTCACCTGCTGGTAAGACCATTTTTATTATATCAAGTAATTAAAAATTAAGGAAAAAAAATGCATGCCTAAAAACAATTATCTGCTTATTCAGCATGTTTCTAATTAAATGATACAATCACTGATCCCTACCATATGCTGGCCTGCATTTCCCTCTCACCCTCAGTGGCTCCTAGAAGTCCTTTTGTCTTAAAAATAACATTTTTTTCTTGCTGCCTGTTACACTTGGAGATATGTAATGTTGCTTTTCTCTGTTTTGAAATGCCTTGGACTTTGCTGATATATAATCACACACACCCACATTCATTGCTTGTAACTTGTGTCTATCTTCTTCAAAGCCTCTGGGGCAGGGCTGAGCAATTAACCTGTGTAAACATGCACTGGTGCACATACATACCGGTAAATTGGAAAAAAGGGCTGTTAGCTTCAAAATAAAAGCAATGCAGTTTTATTGTATGCGTGGTAAACACTTATTTACATTTGGCTTATTTACATTTGGTCTTTACCACAGTTGTGTTTAGCTCATCATGCCTTCCCCAGAAAGCCTATTGTTTTCTGTTTCTGTTTTCTGTCATCCAGAGTTCTTTTGGAATTGGACAGCCTCTGAATCATCGTCATCCTCTGTTTCCTTTCAGGTGTAGTACTCAAATATGAGATCAACGGACTACAAGCCTGGTTTATAACGCATGCCCTCTGGTTTGCAAATGTTTACTACTTCCAGTGGTTCTCGCCCACTATCATTTTTGACAACTGGATTCCAATCTTGTGGTGTGCAAATATTCTGGGCTATTTAATGTCCATATTTGTTTGGTTAAAAGCCTACTTCTTCCCTTCTAATGCAAAGGACTGGTATGTTGATATTATTTATAATTTATATTACTATAAATGTGATGATAATTTGATGAGGACTGAATGTTCTTTTCTGATCAGTAAAGTTAATTAACCCAGAAGCTATTTCTCTGCCTTTCTTGCTATTGTACTTTTACTTGCTACTGAAGATCATAAATATCTAAGTGTGTCATTTCAATTCCTAAGGTCTGATGATGTTGGAAAATCATTTGTATGTGTTCAGCTTATCATATACAGATTCTGCCTGCCTGTCTTGAGCATTAAGGTCTTCTAATGGGGGGTGGGGTCTAATAGGGTAACCATGTTTTTTATATCAGAAATGTCCCCTTGAAGTGTCTTGAAAGAAACAGTAATTCAGTCACTCTTAAAGAAGATATGCCTGGAACTATTGTCTTATTTCCAGTATCCTCTTCTTGAGCAAGGTTCTTGAGAAGGTGATGACTTTTCAGCTTCATGCATTCTCGAAGGATATGAATTATGTGCACCCATTCCACTTTGATATCATTCTGGTTTTGACATTGAAACTTGTTTGTTCTGACAGATGATGTGCTCTGGAGAAGTGCAATTTTGTTGGTACAAATCATAGATATTTTGGCAGCTTTTGATACCATTGGTATGGTATCATTCTGAATGGATTATCTAGATCAGAATGTTCATATAATTAGATTTTCTCTATCTCCTGAATCAGCTCCAGAGAACAGCATTATGGTGCTTGTGTTCAGTCTTGTAGGCTGTTAAATTCCTTCTCTCAACTATGTTGTTTAGCATTTATATAAAACTGCTAACTAGGTCATTAGAGGATTAAAATTAGGTGCTATTAATATACCTATAACAGCCAACTATATTTCATCATTCTCAGAATCAGGTAAGACTGCAGACATTGGATTAGATCAGTGATGGTGAACCTTTTAGAGACCGAATGCCTAAACTGCAACCCAGAACTCATTTATGTATCACCAGGTGCTGGCTGGGCATGGCCCATTGGATGGTATGGCCCATTTGGTGGGTGTGGCTAATTGGTGGGTGTGGCTGAAGTCACAGCAGACTGGGTGGGTGTGGCCAGAGTGGGCGTGGCCACCTCGATGTTGCTTGTGGGGAGGGATGCCTGTTGGGGTCAGGCAGGGTTGGGGGAGATCCAGGGGGTCTCTGGCAGGTGGGACGGTAGGCAGGAGGCTTGTCCTGCGGGATGAGTAGAGGCAAGGGGGCAGGGCAGGGGTGCCATTGCTGCAGAGCAAGGCAAGGCGATGCAGGGCCCGGAGCGGCTGCTGCCTGACACCATCGGCCCCTGCACACAGCGAGCGCATGGGGGTCAACTATGTCCATCAGCAGCCACAGCCTGTCAGCCCCTCGGTGTGATGACCCAGAGCCCCGAATGGAGGCAAAGCAGTCATCTGGCAAGAGAAACAGTCCGTTAATCACTGCCAATGGTCCCCAAAAGCTGCCACATATGCTGGCCAGAGTTCAACCAAAGCACGCACACAGTGTCTCCTTAAATCTTAATCCCCAGGTGTGCCTTGTGGAGTGGGGCAGGATGCTCTCCTCCCGAGCAAATGAGCCTGCCTCTGTTGTTCTCTCCTGCTCTCTGCTCTCCTTGCTCTAGGATCAGGTGGGGGGCCTTGCTCCTCACCTGAACTCTGCCTTCCCTGTTCCAAACCTGAAGAGCCCTGGCCTGCCTCAGCCTGCTCCTTCCTACAACCCTCTGAAGCCATAGACACTCTCTCCTGGGCCTCAACAGAGAATTCCATGTTTTCCTCGGATTCAGGCTTGGACGGAGGCACGACACTCGATTTTGGCATGATGTGGCTGTTTGCCTCCATTTGCCGCTTCGCATGTCGCACCCAATGCGGCTGCCATGGGGCCGCGGAACAAGCCGGTTCCTTACCACCGCCCGGCTTGCTCCATGGCCTCAGGGCAGCGGCACTGGGCAGGAGGCGGCAAATGGGCAGTTTTGGCATGATGCAGCTATTTGCCGCCTCGCGTATTGCCCCCATTGCTGCTGTAATGCGGCTGTGGAACAAGTGGGGCAGGTTTCCCCCTCACCTGCCCATTCAGCTACAGCTGTAGTGGCTCTGTAGGCAGAGCTGTGATGTTCTCTTCTCTGACAGAGAAGAGAACTTCGTAGTTCTGCCTACAGAGCCACCAAAGCAGCAGGTGGAGCACCGGAGGTTCGGGGAGGTAGGGTGCTAAAGTGGGCGGTTGGGACATTGGCAAGAGCAATGCATCTGAGCGGACAGCGGCCTTGGAACAAGTGGGGCAGGTAAGGAAAGAAATCCTCGCTCCCCCCCGAAATTGCCTTTCTTTCCTTACCTGACTTCCAGCCCCGTGCCATTTCTCCTTTGCAATCTGCCGTCGCCGCTTGCAAGGAAACAAAGGAAGTTTTTTTGAGGAGAAAAAGGTCAATCAATCAATTCCAACTTCACGATCTTTCACCGCTTTTTAGAATTTAAAAAGGCTATTTGCAGTCGAACCGGTCTTAAAGCATCCTTGCCCAGGGAAGCCCTTTGTGATTCAAGCCAATGCCAGCAATGTGGCCGTCAGAGCTGTGCTACTGCAAAAGAACCAAAGTGGGATCCTACAACCCTGCGTCTACACCTTGGAAAAATTCACTGAGTATGAGAGGTGGTGGGCTGTGTGGGAAAAGGAAGCTTTCGCGATCCGTTGGGCTCTATTAAACTGGCGTCACTATCTAGAAGGGAGCAAGGTGCCTTTCGAGGTATGGATTGATCACAAAAACCTAGAAGCACTGAAAACTCCCCGCAAATTGTCCCCAAAACAAGTACAATGGGCACAATACTTTAACTGTTTTAATTTCATCCTTAAGTACATACCTGATGCTTTATCCACACTGCCCCAGTACAAGAGCTGATGCTTTATCCACACTGATGCTTTAGCTGATGCTTTATCCACACTGCCCCAGTACAAGAGCCAGCATGAAGAGATTAATGAAGCAATTATCTCCACTTCTCAACTCACGCCACGCAGAGTCCCACCTTCAAGAGCCCCAAACCGCAATGACCCTGAGGCAAAGAAAATAAAACAAGAGCTCCTCACAGACCAATGGTTCAAGAACAATCAAACCTCCCTAACATGCAGGGATGGTTTGGCTTACAAGGGGGGGGGGAAGCTATACTTGCCCAAGACCCTACATCTTAACGCGCTCCAACACGGCCATGATGTAAAACAGGCTGGGCACTTTGGATATTTAAAAACACTACACTTCGTCCGCCAGCAATTTTGGTGGCCGGAATTGAAACAAGACGTGGAAATCGATGTCCGGAGTTGTGCTTTATGTGCCATCATGTAAAGAATTTCGGGGAAACCCCCTGGATTATTACAACTGGTGGCGGACCCTTCCCAAGATTGCTATGGGCTTTATAGTAGACCTACCTGAAAGTAGGGGAAATACGGTCATCTGGACTGTGATAGATTTGTTTTCAAAGCAGGCTCAACACAGCATACATGTACACTTTAAACCCAGGAATACATTAAGGTAGAAGCTTATCCAGTACAAGGATAAAACACCCAAACGGCAAACTGAGCAACGTTGGTATATAGCAATAGCACTTAGACTTATATACCACTTTACAGTGCTTTACAGTCCTAAGCAGTTTATAGAGTCAGCATATTGCTTCCAACAATCTAGATCCTCATTTTACTGTCTTCGGAAAGATGGAAGCCTGAGTCAACCTTGAGCTGCTCAGAATCGAACTCCTGGAGTGAGCAGTAAGTTAGCTTGCAGTACTGCATTCTAACCACTGCACCATCACCAAGCACCTGAAATGTGGTCATGTGATCGGAGGCAGGGCCCAGCCATCAGAACTTTGAACCTGTACTTTGCAGGGGCTTTGTCATACTTTGAATGGTAAATCAAAGACTACTTGCATTTATCCTGGAGCCAGGTCAATAGTGATATTATCCACCTTTTGGAGTCAGTTGAAGATTCTTTTGGTAATGAATGTCAGCTCTTATCTGGAAGTTATGAATGCTAATACGATTTTTATTATAAGGTTACAGAAACAGAACCTTGCAAGTCTGAATATTCTACCCCACGGGTCTTCAAACTTGGCCCTTTTATGACTTGTGGACTTCAACTCCCAGAATTCCTCAGCCAGTGTGCTCCCAGGAATTCTGGGAGTTGATGTCCACAAGTCATAAAAGGGCCAGGTTTGAAGACCCCTGTTCTACCCCCTTTTATCCTGAAGAGAACTAGGGAGGGTTAAATCTTAGATATTTTCTCAAATTATATTTCTGCCCCAGACTCAGATTTTGTTTATCTCACCATTGTATTGGTTTCCTCTTGTTCCACAAAGGTTATTCCTTCTCCCCATTACACTGAACAGGTTATAAATATCTGAAATGAAAATAAATAACATTGTAATTAATGTCAATTATTTGCATCAGACTAATCAGTAATGATGTCCATTTTGTTTGTGAGTGCTCTTGCAATTTCATTTGGTTTTCAAACTGATGTATAAGAAACTTTTGTTTAATACTCTTTAATATTCTATTTTAGCAAATTCACTGGCAATTTCTTCTATAACTTCATGATGGGAATTGAATTTAATCCACGCTTGGGAAAGTGGTTTGATTACAAATTGTTTTTTAATGGCCGACCTGGAATTGTAGGATGGACTTTGATTAATTTATCCTATGCTGCAAAACAACAGGAATTGTATGGACAAGTCACTAATTCTATGCTACTTCTCAATGTCCTACAGGTAAACATTAACATGTGCATTAATGTTAAATGCTATCAATAACAATTTTCCCCAATTAATTTCCTCAGGTGATACATCATATGTTTTTGTGTTTGTGTGTGTGTGTACACAGAAAAATATAGACATGTATGAACTACATGCTTACACCACTTTTACATCTGTCTGCAATTTAATCAGTCTCTTAACTCTTTCAGGATGACTGTAGTTCCACAAAAATTTTCCTTATATCAGTACCACCGTGTACAAGCTATTCTTCACAAAATAATGACCACAAAATTATTGGAATTGCAAAATATCTCAATATGCTGTTGATTTCAACCTCAAAATCTCATAGGTTCTCATATGAGAATAGCAAAATCTCATGCGAGTGTTCACAAAACAATATTCTTGCATAAGATTTCAGAGTGAGATAGGTAACATCTGTGTTTTTGGAATGATTTTTTCCCCCACTCATACCATGAGAAAAACATAGAAAATCTCAATATAACTCATTATATTGGAAGATATATTGGAGTGTTTCTCTGACAGTGTAGTAATAATTAAGCACTAACTTACAATAAAAGGTTAAAATTAAAGAGAACATTGGCTATGGAGATTCTCAACCATCCAGGTCATGGTTGTCCCAAAATCATGCTTTTCCAAAAGGCAACTGGACTTTCTTGGTTTTTATTTGAAAACATTTTGCTTCTCATCCAAGAAGCTTCTTCAGTTCTAAGTGAAGACAATGGAAGGATTTATGTTCTTTGCAGTCATTTGGTCATTCGCACTTTCAGGGTTGGTTGTACTACTCTGAGAGTAGTTGAGGCCATTTGGGGGTTTATCTATATCTCAGAGTCCAAATAGGCGTGGAACCTTTTTGGGACTGCTGAAACAACTGTATTGTAGACAGGAGACAGGTAGTATCTATTCCTCCCCCTTTGATAAGGCTGTTCAGTTTTAACATAGATGACCTCTTTGACCCTTCTTTCAAACCAGTGGTCCTCTCTGTCTGGAATATGATCTTTGCAGTCTTTAAAAAATCTGACCCTTTAATTTCAGATGCAGATAGACTGCTGAATCCTGTCCTGGTGAGTTGGTTTTCCTGTGTTGTGTCATATGTTTGTGACATGTACCAGTCTGCACATGTCTTGCTGCATTGTACTACATATACATTGCCCTGTTTGTGTCTGGGTGCTTTGTCCTTGGGGTGGTCAAGCTTTTGCCTTAATGTATTCCTGGGTTTAAATTGTGCAGGTATGTTGTGTTGGTTGAAAATCCTCTTGTGTTTTTCAGTTATTCCTGCAACATATGGAATGATAACATTGCTCCATTTGTTGTTCTTTTCTTTGTCCATTTTGAAGAACTGGATCCTTTCGTGGATTTGATGATTAGGATAATCACACGTTCTGAGGACTGCCTTGATATATTTTTGTTCCTTCCCCCCCCCTGCTGGTAGGCATACCTTCAGCCTGGTGGTATAGGGTCCTTATTATTCCCAGTTTGTGGTCCAGTGGGTGGGGAGAATCAAAATGTAAATAGGTTTGTATAATAGGTTTTCTGTGTACTTCAGTGTTGAGGCTTGATATGTACTTGCACAATCCAGGAAAGCCACACAATTTTCCTTAACTTCTTCCTGTGTGAAATTAATGTTTCTGTCCACAGTGTTTATGTGTTTGATGAAGGGTTCCACTTCCTGTGTTTTAATCTTGACTCAAGTCTCATCTACATATTTATACCCTTGAGTAGATGGAATCAGATGCTTGCATTGGATGTCTAATTCTACCTACTCATTGTGGATGATACTTGAGTCAAGATTAAAACTCAGAAAATGGAAGTGGAAGCCTTCACCAAACACATCAACACAAATATTAAGTTCACCCAGGAAGATGTTAAGGAAAATAGTCTGACCTTCCTGGATTGTGTAAGTACACATCAAGGAAGTCAGAAGCTTCATCACTGAAGTATATAGAATACCTATACGCTGCTCAGTATTTACATTTTGATTCTCACCACCCACTGATCCACAAACTGGGAATAATCAGGACCCTACACCACCGGGCTGAAGGTATGCCTATCACCAAAGAGGGCAAAGAGAAGAAACAAAAACATTTATTTATTTATTTATTTATTAATTGCATTTATATCCCGCCCTTCTCCTTTCGGACTCAGGGCGGCTGACAAATGATAAAAAAAACTAACATACATAATATTACACCTAGTTAAAATTTAATTAAAACGAAATATTTGAGAATGTCCAATTAAAAGTAATTAAAACCCCTATAAAATCCCCTAGGCCAGTCCCGCTTGCTGGAACAACCATAAACATATCAAGGAAGCCCTCAGAACTTGTGGCTATCCTAACGGGGCCTTCATGAAAACCACAAAAAGATCCAGCAGGAGCTCCTTCATAATAGACAAGGAAGAGAACAACAAACAGTTGCGTTGTCATTCCTTACATTGCAGGAATAACTGAAAAATTCAGAAGGATTTTCAACCGACACAGCTTATATGTAAACTTTAAACCTAGGAATACATTAAGGTAGAAGCTTATCCAGTACAAGAATAAAACACCCAGACAGCAAACTGAGCAACGTTGGTATATAGCAATAGCACTTAGACTTATATACTACTTTACAGTGCTTTACAGCCCTAAGCAGTTTATAGAATCAGCATATTGCTTCCAACAAGCTGGATCCTCATTTTACTGACCTCGAAAGGATGGAAGGCTAAATCAATCTTGAGCAGGTAGACTCAAGATCCCGAATTGCTGGCAGCAATTGCAATACTGTATTTAACCACTGTGCTACCATGGTGCAATGCATATTGTGAAAACAAAACCACTTCACAAACGCAAGGCACCACACAGGAGAACAAACTCATCAGAACAAGATTCAGCAGTCCATCTTCATCTAAAAGAAAAGGGTCACTCTTTTGAAGACAGCAAAGTTCCCATTCTGGACAGAGAGGATCATTGATTTGAAAGAGGGGTAAAAGTAGCCATCTGTGTTAAAATCCCCCTTATCAGAGGGGGAGGGATATGATACCATGTATCTCCTGTCTACAACCCAATACTTTCAGCAGTCCCCAAAATATTCCACACCTCTTTGCCCTCTGATTCAAGTGATTCTGAGGATATAGATAAACCACCAAGTGGCCTCAACTACTCTTCTAGAGTTAATAACCAACCCTGAGAGTGCTAATGACTAGATCAGAGGTCCCCAACCTTTTGGGCACCAGGGACCAGTTCCGTGGAGAGAGGTTTTTCCGTGGACCAGAGGGTGTGTGGTTTTGTGTGTTGCCTGCATCTCGTGGATGGGGCTTTGCTTGTTTGTGTGGACTGGTTTTGGGCATGCTGCAGCAAGGTACTGGTCCATGGACCAGGGGTTGGGGATCCCTGGACTAGATGACTACAAAGAATCCTTCCATTCCCCTCCAGACAGTTAAAACTGAAGAAGCTTCTTGGATAAGAAATGAAACATTTTCAAAGAAAAAAACCAAGAAAGTCCAGTTGCCTTTTGGAAAAAGCACCTTTGCGATAAAGAGGACATTGGAGTATCATGTTCTTCAATTATAGGGCTCTGTGAAAGTGCTGATAGAATCATTAATTTAGAATTTTAATCATCAATCCTATGTAAATGTAATCCCAAAAACTATGACTTGCATTTTATATGTAGATAAATTTGAGCTTCTCTCTCTCTCAAAGATAGCATTTATTCACATGCCTATTTTTTATAAGTGTAATAATAATGTGTATATTTTTCAGGGTCTGTATGTTCTGGACTTTTTTTGGAATGAAACTTGGTATTTAAAAACAATGGATATTGCTCATGATCACTTTGGATGGTATCTGGCCTGGGGAGACTGTGTTTGGCTTCCCTATCTCTATACTCTGCAGGTATTTCATCATATGCATTTACTCTTGTTTGCATTCAGCTGCTTCTAGAAACAATAGAATGTTTCCCCCTTTAAGACAGCACCTGGGGTATCATGACGGCTGTTCATGTTTAAGGATTTATTTATTTATTTTTAATGTTTGGGCCTACTGCTTCAGGGAGTAAACTGCCCTGGCAGTATTATTTTGGAGAGGTAATGGGCAACTCCTAGTATGATGGTTGCTATTATGTGGCAGTTGGAGGTTAGCTGGGAAAACAACTGGAAGCTGATGTTTTGTGTGGTGGCTGTAGGCCAGTGCCTGATAGCTATATGGCAGAGTTGAAAAAGTGAAACACAGACTTTCAGAGATCAACCAGAGCTGAAGAAAAGAGAGAGAAAAGGGTAGAGAGGGAGAGACTCAAAGAATGTGGACGAAGAGACCAGGATGAAGTGGAAAAAATAGAAAATATACAAAAATGTGATGATAATGTGAGGTTGTTTAGGAAGACAGCTGAGAGTATTGGGTGTTTTGCTGGAAACTGCAAGTAAACACCATTTTTTGGTAAAAACAACACAAATCATGGTCATATGACCTTGGCACTACAAACATCCATAAATGTGAGCCAGTTCCTTTTTTTTTTTTTATAAAATTTTTATTGTTTTCAAATATAACAAAATATAAACATAAACTTGATGCATATAAATACAAAACATCAGTACACAAAAGAAAAGATACTTTACGGGTGGTCCCGGCTGCCCCCTCTCTGCTTCCCCCTCTTTCACTTACCACCTTCCTCCCTCTAGACTCTCAACCACTCCACCTTCCTCCTCCACTCCCTACTTCCCAACCTCTTTCTCAAGCACCAGCCGGAAGCAGTTTGGGGTAACAGCCAGGATCATCCTCATAAATATACTTCCAGCGTAATTAATAAACACATCAATTCTTATATATTTTTATCCTTTTCCCCCCTCCCCCCCCTGGACTTCCCAGAGCTAAACCCAGGAATAAGTACAAAATAATTTTAATCTATCCAAAGCTATCCATTCATACAATAAACAAGTATAAAGTTACTATAACTCTAAAATACAATAATAAACTTATAAAAATTTAATAATTAATCAAAAGCGAGATGATAGTTTCTCAATTCATATCTTTTCTGAATATAGTCTATCCATCTTCTCCATACCAGGATAAATGTCTCCTGTGAATGATCCTTCAGGTATGCGGATATTTTAGCCATTTCTGCAAAATGTGAGACTTTATGTCTCCAATCATCCATAGTTGGTAGTGTCTTTTTTTTCCAATTCTGAGCAATCAATGTTCTTGCTGCTGTGATGCAATACAACATAAG